TGGTTTACCTGCACTTCGCTCAAGCTTCCACTCAACAACCGTCCCGGGGTTAAAATGCTGTAGTGCAGCCATGTACCTAGGCAGATCTGCAAATGACTTATCCCAGTTACCATACACTATTTCAAACGCTCGTTTGCGCCCGAGAAATGCCTTTCTTTTAGTAATGGTATGGCCATGTTCCTGTTGGACTGATGTAATGCACTCTTTGATTTTATACCTTATGGACTGTTCGATGTGTGGAATAAGAACAAGAGAAATCAAGTCAATATCCAAGTTGAAGTGATTTCCGTTGAATGTGTCCATTTCGCATGTGTGGGTGGGAATGTATTTACCCACTTTCCACATACCTGTCTTCTTCTTGGTTGCACGCAACATCCAATTACATGGCCAAAACCACCTGCGGCAAACAACCTTGTATACCGTCGGACTTGACTCCCATACCTGCATCTCATGACACTCTTTTACGTTGTGCATTTTACAAGCCCTGCTTAGGCGCGCTTTATCAGGAAAAAGCATCCCCTTTGCAAGCACCGTTGGTCTAGACTCATCCCACATTGCTGTCCGGATTTCATCAAAATCCCTTGTGAGAGCTTCCACATCCGGCACGGTTGGCAAGTTATCAATGTAAGGAATCTCTCTTGAATGAAACGGCACTTCGGACTCATACACTCTTCGTCTAGGGGGGTCTCTCTTCAAATCAGGTCCTTCCTCCTCATCCTCTGCATCACCATCCTCACGAGCAAAGGGTGTCTCATCCCCGGATTCATCCGCATTGTTATCGTAATCACTGTTCTGTTCCTGACTCTGTGCATCTGCCAGGTCCCGATGTAATACATCATTTTCGGGCAATTGAGTGAGTTCAACTTGCTCGTTTTCACTGCACAACCAACAAAAATATAAGCTACTAAATTAATAAATAATTTTCATATTTTGTGTAAATCACTTCACTTACAAGTCGTAATGTGATAAAATTTCATGATGGACGTTATCAATTAGGTGATGACTACCGGATGGGCCACTTGTAAAATTCATATCCGGCCGGTAACCCCTATTAAATATGTGAGCGTTAAGACAAATTCAATACAACAAATATATACATAATTAACACAAATGAAAATTAAAATTTACCACTCGTCTTGTGAGTTATGGAAAGCAGGGTTTAAAGTATTTTCTCGCTGCTCATTCACCGGCGGTGATAAGTTTAAATCAAAGATAACTCGTTCATCCGGAACTTGTCCGGCAAAAACTGTTCCAGAATAACCCCGCGATGACTGGGGGTTATCTCTACTACGCACAACCTCATTGTTTGGAACGTCTTCGACCTTCACGTACATCTCCAACATTGTGATTACAAGAAAATCCCGACATTCGTCCGGAGTCCTCAAAAAATCACTCAAAGTTTCATCATCGTCGATGTTAAACTCCGAGTAAAAAGCAACCCCTTGCGGAGTGACGGAATAAGGATATCTTCCGGTTACTTTAAATATTACGGAACGTTTCCTCACACTCATTTTTTTGCATAACAACGATATCAATGTATCGTACTCCATCGTCAGTGGCAATTTAACATGACACTTAGCAGGTAAACTGTAGCCCACGGAGTTATTCTCCATCACAACCTCACCACCCCAATATAATGAAACTCTTATCCTACGCTCTTCAGACATTATAAAAAAATGCTGGAGAATTTAACAACAACAAACGTCAAGAGTTAAAAAAAATTTTGAATGCATTTCTATGCGATTCTAACCTCTTTATATAGAAAATGGGGAGCCGGGAAGTTTTTTTTTTTTTACATATATAGCGCCAAATAAGTTGGCGCTTTATTTTGAATTATTGTACTGGTCAGGAAAAAAAAGGATATAACGCCACTATTTCTGGCGCTATATCACTGTCAGTGTATAACGCCAGAAATAGTGGCGCTATATCACTCTGACAGTGTATAACGCCAGAAATAGTGGCGCTATATATTTAACGGTGCTGTTACCGTTTATATATAGCGCCACTATTTCTGGCGCTATATATATTTTTGTTACCTTTTTTTTTTACACCTATTTATGTGTTTTGAGTCCAAAATAGCAACATTTTGGTTTCGGACTCCTGTAAAGGCCTTGAGAAAAAAGGACAAGAGAAAGTCCACTTCTTCCAATGAAACTGCACAAAACTACCCTTTACACAGAGGCACTGTTGCTGCAGCTTGAGTTGAACCAAATCTACATGGAGGAAATTGAAGAATTGTTATTCCATCCATTAATTACTACAGATACCAAAGAATGTAAAAATAATAAAAGGGGTGAAATAATATATAAAGAGTGAGATAGAGAGTTTTTTTTTTTTGATAGAGAGTGGTTAAGAAAAGTATAGAGATACAACGTATGCGTTGATATGTGTATTGGAGAGGGGCCCTGCCCTTTTGCTAGTTATGCTTTGTAATAAAAGTGATGGCTACAGTTTTGGTGGTTTGCCTAAGTTTTTTGGTACCACTTTTGTTATGGTTCCCTCGGCTGTTTTCATCTTTTGAAACTGATCATATGCTTCCGTCCTTTTGAGCCATGGATTAAAGTTGTGAGAAGAGAATTTAAAATATAAAAAAGATGATGAATATGTCTTAGTCATCTGTGAGTAATGTTCACGTTCAAAAATACTTTTTGAACTCTTTGAATTTCACACATGCATAATATAGTTTCTTGACAATGGAAATTCAATCAATCATCCTTGGACCAATTACCACTTCCCTTGTACTTACTCTATGAATGTGGATGAAATCCTACTATATGATATTATGTATTAATGACACATGACCAAAATTACTCAAGGCGCAAATTAAGGGAAATGCTTCAGAATTGGAGAAAGGAAAAAGGGAATATGAGTAATAGTTATCACGTTTTTTGTGGACTTGAGAGTTGGGAAGACTGAGCTGTATGATGGTGCATGGATTTGTAATAATGTCACGACGACCCAAATTGCATATTAAGCCGTGATGACTCCCAACACTATTGTTAGGCAAGCCAACACTAATCAAATAGTAAATTCTCATTTGAGTAGTTAGTACGTGATAACTTTCCATTATAGATTAAGGAATTTAGAGTTTAAAAATTTAAGCATATTTAAATGGAAGTAATAAATGCGAATCTCAATCATAAAGACAAGCCAAAACATCATAAGTCTACCAATGTGTGTGCCAAGACCTGGTGTCACAAGTGTGTGGCAATCTAGTAGAATATACATAACCATACTATCCTACTGTCTGGAAAAGGAATAGACAGGAACATAAAGACAAAAGAGAGACTGCAGCTGCTGTAGAACAACTCAAAAGAGCAGCTCACCGGAAAGTCTCAAGTTGAGGAGTCCACTCTATGCGTCGGACTGATGGCCAGATGCACCTGCCTCAAAGCCTGTACAATCAAGTACAGAAGTGCAGCATGAGTACATAGAAATATGTATCCAGTAAGTATCTCGCCTAACCTCGCAAAAGTAGTGACGAGCGGCCGACTCCGACACTTACTAGGGCCAACAAATATAATAATATGAAGTTCAATATTTTAATTCACAATGTATGTGGATAACAACAAGCTCAAACAAGAATAATACTGAAAATCCTTTCATCCAATTAATAAAACTAGCCACTTTCTTCATTTAAAACAAGTGACTTTTCAAGCAATGAATCATATGAATTATAAGGGTTACGGTTCTATTATCACACACAAATACCACCGAGGAAGTTCGGCCCGATCCAACATAAAAGTAAACTGTGCACCGCCGAGGGTCGAACGGCCCGAACCATATATACATTTACTATCCTGCCGAGGCAAACGGCCCGCTCCCATGAGAGTATTGGAAATAATCACCTCGCTCGCGACATATACTTGCGACGCGGTTAAGTATAAATATAACTTAATATTTTCCTCAATTCTTAACAAAATAAATATTTACTTGAAATCCTTAAAATCATAACATCTTCAACATAGTTCCATTCAATGCAAATCAACAATTATAATCGTATAACGGTACCCACAAAGCATGGTGTAAGCTTAGAACTACCCGGACATAACAGGAATAGTAGCTACGTACGGACTCTCGTCACTTTGTGCGTACGTAGCCCCCACAATTAATCATATATTAATTAAGTTTACCTAGGGGGAAATTTTCCTCTTACAAGGTTACAAAAGAGACTTACTTCGTTTCAAGCCTACTTCCTGTTATACCCCATTTAAATCGGGTGAAATTAGAGTATAACATATTAGCAATTCTGAGGTTTAATTAATTTTAAGAGAGTCGCCACCTAATTATTTTATGGTGAATTAGGACACCTATTTTAAAGCTTAAGTCAACTCTGTCTTATGGTCTTAACCTAAATATTCTAAGTAAGGGTTTTAAATATTTTAAAAAGAAGGTTTTTTAAAGCACCTTTTAAAATCCATTAATAACGGTTAACCGACCAAGCTTAGGTTAATAAGTATTGTATAAATATATCAAGAAATATCGTTTGAGGTATTTTGACAAAATATAACTTAGAATAGAGTAGTTTACCTTTGAAAGATTTTAATAAACTTTTGAAGAATATTATTACGTAAACAAAGCTTATAGCTAGTTAATATACATATACAAATTTGAAGGATATAGTCTCTTTAGAAAGACGTTTGCTGATGATTAAAATATTTTATTAAAAAAAGTACCCTTTTCTTTTCTTGTCTTGTGATAAAGGTTAAAGGTTTTTCTAACCTTTCAATTAACAAGAACGTATGCTAACAAAAAAAATCACGTTTTTGTATATTTTTTTTTAATTCACATTTTTCATGATGTTTCAAGAAACAATTGGACGATTCCAGTTGGAGCACGCCCTTTTCTTTTTCCAAAAAAAGATTGATTCAATTCTGAACTTATATGATAGCAACCTGAAATTTAAATGGTTTTTCAAAAATTCTGGAAGAGCACTATTATATAAAATAGATGATATCTACCAATAACCAAGTGAGAATACTAAGTGAAGAAGTCAGAAATAAATCAACAATCCCAAGTTAAATATAGAACTAAACTAATCAAAAGAATATAATCAAATTAATTAAAGATTCGAAACAGAGTAAATGTAAATAACAAAGGCCTCCATAGGCGACCCCAAGCTTTTTGCTTGTCCTTCTTCTAGATGTCCATCATAATCTAAGGCTCAATAGTAGTGACTCCATGCTGGTATGGGTTGAGTCTTGCATTAAGACTCATTGCTCCAAGTGCATATGCCAAACAAAGAAAAAGAAAAGACGAGAATTAGAAATAAAGGTGTTGACAATAAACTGAGAAAGAACAGTAAACTTTAAATTGGGTTCTAAACATACAGCAGGTTAATAAAAGAAATATTTCTTTTTAAAAACTTGAGTAATCTTATACCAGCAAATTCATTAATCTCTAAGTTTAGGCATATTGCCATAACCTAAATATTGAGTTAACAAAACTTTTTTTGTTCATTTGAGATCTAAAGATGAAACTGATTAATCTAGCCGACATGATTATCAGAACTTAGAACAACATGGCTTCTACTTCCATCTTAAGTCTTAAAATTAGATATTAAAATCCTAGCCGCGTGCTTTTTAGTAAACTGACAAAATGGCATCAGACTTTTAGGATCCTTAACACACATTAACACAAAACATGCATTCTTAATTTGTCTTAAAGTATTAAAACTAGATATCAAAGTATTCTAAATGGCATAATACCTATTAACATCGAAAGGAAATGGTAGTATTAGCTTTTTGAACTAATAGTAAACTAACACAACTTCACATGATATTGCAGGAAGCAAATTTTCTAAAGCACCCAAGAACTTACTTAGATAGGTTTCCAATATCATATGTTTGCTAGGTCTCCCCCAACTTCTTTCCATTTTAGTTATAAATCCAATTAAGATGATCACGGTAGGTACTTCTTAACAGAACTATTGTTTGGAGTGTGAACTAAAAAAGAGCTACTGCATTTCATGGATTATTTTCTTTGCAAATCATCCGGATAGCCAACAATCATTATATTAAGTTGCTTCAAACCGGGTTCTCTTAAGTGAAAAAATACCATCCAAAACTAATACATAAAAATTCGTTAACAAATCATCATTCAAACAGTAAGTTTTTTTTAGAAGTTCATCATAGCTTCTTAAAGACATGCTTTTTACTCTTAGACAAATTGCAGTTTTATATACAACGATTAGCCAAGTTTAGATATACTCATTAAAATACAAAAGGAGTATCGAATCATGGTACTCAACAACAAAACGTATAAATTCACTTTGTATTGCAGTCCAGCAAATCAAGAGAATTTACTTCTTATACTATCATTGTATTAAAGTAATTCTTAGACTTAAGTTTATTAGATGATTAGCCTTTTAAATGTTTTTTGCTAACTAACAGAACCAGTCAATTAAACAAGGAAATGTTCACCTCTAAGTTTTCTAAAAAAAATTAAAAGCAAATACGTTTGAATACATCAAACATATTTGTAAGCAAAACTAGCTTTGGGTATGCTGGGAAACATTCTAAGTTTATTATATTAAGAAACAAACATGGGACTATTTTTGGTATTTTAAATCTTCTCTTATTTTGTTCACATACAGCAAAAATACATAATTAGTCATTTTTATACTCAAATAATACCTTAGAGCATACTTTTTACGCATAAAACAAACTATAACTCCATCTTAAGAACGAATGTACATTTACTTCTAATCTAAGAAGAAAAAGAGAAAAAAAAAGTGAGAAGTTACTGACCTTTTGTGGTGCAGCGAACTTGGGCACGTCAAATAAGTCTATAGATTCTGGCTTCGGAGTTGAACTCGAGCTTACAACCGTGAACTTTGCAAAGAAAAATTCCTCTGTTATAGCAAAAAGTAATAGAGGCCACACAACTAAGAATTTTAGAGTATTTTTGAAGAATAAAATTGTTTGAAGTTGGCTCCAAGAGTTATCCTAAATTATTACCAAACCTCAGTATTTATAGAAGAACTACTAGGGCTTTTCTAGGGTTAATTTGGGCGGGATTCTTGAAGGAATTTTCATTCAAAATGAACGTTTTAAATTTGATCGTTGACCTTTCTTGGACGGACTTTGCAGACATCACGTGATTTGGTCAAAAAGGCATGACTTGTTCCAGTCCTTACCCGAATTGGCGAAGCTATGGTCTGCTTCAATTGGATTTTGATGTTGTCAAGCACAAACAAGAAAGAGGAAAGGGAATATCCTTTGGAATATCTAGATACCTAACGAGAGTAGAGAGACTTTTTTTCACAAGAATGGTGCGTCACTCCTCTGANTTCGCAGTCAACACAAATCAACCTTGGGGAGTGATAAAATAGAAAAACCTTTAAAAAAAATAAAGACAATGTTAGTAAGTGGTGGTTAAGTTTAAAAGCAAGTATATCACATAACAAACAAATCACGTAATAATACAAATAAGTCAAGCAATGATAAGCGTGTCCTAGTATGCACGGGACCTCTTTGTGCCAGAGGTAGGCCTAGCGAAAATTTGAGAGATAAACACACCATTATATATCATTACATTGCTCCTTAATCAGACATCCCAAAATAAACTTTCATTGATGATTCAAGCTTAGTACATAAATTAAAAGAGAAATACCAACATTGCCTTAGTCTAAAACGATTACAATGGCATAGCCTTAATTGAAATAAAGATTACAACATAGTTCTAATCTAGTTGACTGAGGATGGTTCTTCATTGCCCCTTAGCCTCTTCACTGCTCTGATTGCCTCATCAATTTTCTGGCGATTCTTCACAAGGTAAACCATGGCTAGCTTTCCTCCTTCGTCCAGTCCTTGGCAATAGCATTCTATGAATTGCTTCTCGAGGTCACCATCCAAATCTTTGAGTCCTTGCTCCATTTCCACAGCTTGTTGTTTCCACATTTCTATTTGTTGCTTCTGCATCTCCTCTCGTTGTCTCAACACTTCAATCTCTTTGTTTTCCTTCTCATGCTGCTCCTTGTGCTTTGCTTCAGACTCGGACACCCTTCTTTTCAGCCGGCGATACTTGATTTCAGCTTCGGCTGCCTTATCTTTGATTCGGCCACCCAGATTAATCCCTCTTGTGACAGAACCTTCAAGGTGGGCACGTAACCATTCTAAATAAAAAGTGTCACATCCAGCTTGGTACCTATCTGGTGCAATTGTATCCCTGACCATAGCTCTCTTGTTTCTCCACATCCTGAGAATTTCCTGTGCAAAAGGAATTTTATCATTATCATAGTCAATTCGATAATGATCCATGTTATCAACTTGCGGTATGACTTGCGTTCTTCCGGCTTGTCTCATAACTCGTAATGGAGCATATGGTTGAAGTCCTCGAAGCCCGATGAGAACCAAGTAAGGTAGCATTTTTCCACGGATTACAAAATTCTCAGATGGATACCAAGAAAACATCCATTGAATCGTGGTGTCATTCAACTTGCTAAGTAACTTGCCCCATCCTTTAACACTATTTAGATGCTTGAATGCAACCACTGGGATCATGTATGACGTGATATGATTAGCACCGTTTTGCTTGTAAAGCTCTTGGCTTCCACTGATCTTTAGGAGATGCCCCATAAACCACAACTGTAGCAATAAATTACATCCCTCAAAATGTTTAAATCCTTTCTTGCAAAGGCCTAAAGCTCGGTATATATCTGCGACAACCATCGGCACTATGGTGTATGGCTTTCCATCAATGCCATTAAATAATGCATCAGTAACCATGACAAGTCGGGTGTGAATCTCCTGCTTTGCTCCTCGGGGAAATACTAGGAGCCCGAGGAAACAAACTGAAAAAGCGAATACCCTTTTTTCACTCCAAGAAGCATGTGAGGAGAATACTTCTCGATGTCGTAGAAAAGCACCTGAACATCCAAAAATGTCAAACATATAGTCAAGGGGTATTTTGGATTCTTTCAAATGCTCTAGCCCAATTTCTTTCTCAAAACCAAACTTTTCAAGGAACTCTTTTATCGAGGGATTTTTTGGAATAATCATGCCAGCGTTCTGCCAAGAATGTATGCCTTTCCATAACAAACTCGCATTCTCTATGAAGCCTCCAATCTCTTCCAACAATGGAGTCATCTCATTTTCTCCAAATCTGAATACGGCCCTTTCTTCATCCCAAAAGGTGACTGCTGCCTCAATAATTTCCCTACATGCTGTGACTTCCATAAGTAACGGTAGATGACCCAGCTTCTTTCTTACTTCGAATTGTGCGCTTTCTCCTAAGTTTCTCCACCATGCCTTTAGTTTAGGAGGGATGTCCAACACCATGCCGATCTTTGGGTAGACAACTTGATTCATAATTTCCTGCATCACAGAAAAGATTAATCCTACCCGTTTCCCATTTAGGAGTAAGTGGTCCACATAATAGGTGTGTTTATCTTTCAAATAATGCACATAAAGGATGAATAAGTGTCACTCGGGGTTATAAACCCGCTTGGACATTTGGATAAGGCTAACTAATGGACTTAATACACCTAGGGTATTAAGCCTCCTAAGGTTGCGTGATGCATGCCCCTAAGAAGGGATTTGGTTTAGCTCTATCCTAGGTCGGCTAAGAGTGGGTTTTCTAGACTGGTCTTTTTCCAAGTCGACAACTTGAGAGTGGAAAGTTGTGACTGTCGATTGCACCGCTGATCGACTTACCCACAAACTTTCCCCCTAAAAGGTGTTTTTTGAAAAAGTGCACGGCCGCAAACCGCGTAACCGTTAGGTCTGTGCTCAGTGTGATTTTCCAAAAGTGGAGAAAGTGAAAATGGAATAACAGTTTATAAAAGATAGCAATTACATTTTACAAGAAGTAGCACATTTTCAAATAAGGTAACAAAGAAAGAAAAAATATTCACAAAAGCCATTTTTATTAACCTAAGTTTGTTATGGTTTAAAACCTAGAGTCCCCAGCAGAATCGCCAAGCTGTTATACCCCATTTAAATCGGGTCAAATTAGAGTATAACATATTAGCAATTCTGAGGTTTAATTAATTTTAAGAGAGTCGCCACCTAATTATTTTATGGTGAATTAGGACACCTGTTTTAAAGCTTAAGTCAATTCTGTCTTATGCTCTTAACCTAAAGATTCTAAGTAAGGGTTTTAAATATTTTAAAAGGAAGGTTTTTTAAAGCACCTTTTAAAATCCATTAATAACGGTTAACCGACCAAGCTTAGGTTAATAAGTACTGTATAAAAATATCAAGAAATATCGTTTGAGGTATTTTGACAAAATATAACTTAGAATAGAGTAGTTTACCTTTGAAAGACTTTAATAAACTTTTGAAGAATATTATTACATAAACAAAGCTTACAGCTAGTTAATATACATATATAAATTTGAAGGATATAGTCTCTTTAGAAAGACGTTTGCTGATGATTAAAATATTTTATTAAAAAAAGTACCCTTCTCTTTTCTTGTCTTCAAAAGGATAAAGGTTAATGGTTTATCTAACCTTTCAATTAACAAGAACGTATGCTAACAAAAAAAAATTCACGTTTTTTGTATATTTTTTTTTAATTCACATTTTTCATGATGTTACAAGAAACAATTGAACGACTCCAGTTGGAGCACGCCCTTTTCTTTTTCCAAAAAAAGATTGATTCAATTCTGAACTTATATGATAGCAACCTGAAATTTAAATGGGTTTTCAAAAATTCTGGAAGAGCACTATTATATAAAATAGATGATATCTACCAATAACCAAATGAGAATACTAAGTGAAGAATATAAATCAACAATCCCAAGTTAAATATAGAACTAAACTAATCAAAAGAATATAATCAAATTAATTAAAGATTCGAAACAGAGTAAATGTAAATAACAAAGGCCGCCATAGGCGACCCCAAGCTTTTTGCTTGTCCTTCTTCTAGATGTCCATCATAATCTAAGGCTCAATAGTAGTGACTCCATGCTGGTATGGGTTGAGTCTTGCATTAAGACTCATTGCTCCAAGTGCATATGCCAAACAAAGAAAAAGAAAAGACGAGAATTAGAAATAAAGGTGTTGACAATAAACTGAGATANCGTTGACCTTTCTTGGACGGACTTTGCAGACATCACGTGATTTGGTCAAAAAGGCATGACTTGTTCCAGTCCTTACCCGAATTGGCGAAGCTATGGTCTGCTTCAATTGGATTTTGATGTTGTCAAGCACAAACAAGAAAGAGGAAAGGGAATATCCTTTGGAATATCTAGATACCTAACGAGAGTAGAGAGACTTTTTTTCACAAGAATGGTGCGTCACTCCTCTGATTGAAAGATATAAGAGTTTGGAATTTTCTGAAAATGGAGAAGGGAGTGAGGCGTCTGTTTTGAGGGAGATAGAGAGAGGTTAGCAAATTTAGGTTATAAAAAAGCTGGGCTGTTGAATCTGTTATTGGGCTATTGAGAAATGATGGGCTGCTGAAATATGGTGATGTAAAGGCTTTGTTTGGGCCGAAAACCATGGCATTTCTTAATAGCTTGGACTCAATAAAATTTCTTAAATAAACACATATTTGCAGCAGTAAAACTAATATATCATTTTTTTTTTAAAAAAGAAAAAATAAAGAAAAAATAAATAAATAAAAGTTACGTTGAGTAATGAACTTATCCAAATATGAAATTCTTTCACCCAATAAATGGAACTTTCCCCTTCCTTTGGCCAAATATCACTCCTAATTATGTTGAATCTCTCCCAAAATTCAATAACTTTCTTCTTTTAATGGAGTCCAAAGACTTAGAGACGTGGTAGAGGTGTATGGATTACCATTATTTGCAAACAACTTGAAAATAGTCCATCGCGCTAATTACACAAATCGATTGACACGATTTGATTGCAATTTATCCACTATAAATTTCCTTGATGCTTCAATGTCTTTTAACTATGACCATTTAAAATAGCAATCATAAAAAAAATAAACATATCTTTCAAAAAATAAAAAAAACCTATGAAATGCCAAAAATATGTGTATAATATAGCACTATATATGGCGTGTTACATAATGTGTGTTTATGCGCATCACACACACACACACACACACTATATATATATATATATATATAGTGTGTGTGTGTGTGTATAAAACTAATACATATATAATGTGTATAAAAATTAAGGTATAATAATAACAACAACAATAATAATAATAATAACAATAATAATAATAGACCGATTAATTCAATAACTATAACAATAATAGTAATAAAAGGTAACAAATAATTAAGATAGAGCATTAATTAANAAATAAACATATCTTTAAAAAAAAAAAAAACCCTATGAAATGCCAAAAATATGTGTATAATATAGCACTATATATGGCGTGTTACATAATGTGTATTTATGCGCATCACACACACACACACACACACACACACACACACACATATATATATATATATATATATATATATATATATATATTAAACTAAATACATATATAATGTGTATAAAAATTAAGGTNTTTAGTTTTAGGTTGTTTTTGTTTTTCGATTCTTCTTTTCCAATTGTGTATATGTGAGGATTTTTTAGTTAGTTCTTTATGGTACTATTTGACGTATTGTAATTTAAGTAATTCTTTATGGTACTATTTGACGTATATATAATATATATATATATATATATATATATTAAACTAAATACATATATAATGTGTATAAAAATTAAGGTATATGCATTTAGTAATAATAATAACAATAATAATAATAATAATAATAATAATAACAATAATAATAATAATAATAATAATAATAATAATAATAACAATAATAATAATAGACCGATTAATTCAATAACTATAACAATAATAGTAATAAAAGGTAACAAATAATTAAGATAGAGCATTAATTAATGACTAGGGAGCACCAGAAAATTAATTAGAAGAAAGGTAGGACAAAATTGGGTATCAACAGGTAGAAAATTGACTAAGGTAAATTCAAAGAGTTTATTGGATTCTTGGCATATTTTTGTATTGAAGTAGCCAACAATGTCTTTGAATTTAACCTAAGGGGTTGATATTTCGTGCATTTCCCTATTACATAAGAACCGTCAGGCTTCGACAACATGGCTTTTCTATTAGGATACTCATATGTTATTTTTACTCACACATTGACATTTAAAACATTGCATATCTCTATGACTAGTAGGAATAAGTAGAGGATTTGTACCTTTGCCCTTGTTATCCATCTTGGCCTTGCCTTTGTAAACTTGTGGCTTAAGCTAGCTTCTCATCTTCGGGCTCAGTTCAAGCTGTCTACAAACATCTTTTGGCTTGTTCCAGTTTGATGAAGTTTGTTTGCCCTTTTCTTGATTTGTTCTTCCCCTTGGCTTGCTAAAAGCAATGCTTAATCTTAATTGTTCTCTAAAATCATTTCATGAACTCTCTCTCTCGCACAAACACACAGCATATACGTATAAATTTATTGATTCACTGTAATCATTAAACTTCTTTTCGGTCTTGGAAGTTTAATGGAACTCCTGAAAATCCAAGACTTTCAGTCTTCTGCTCAGAAAAACAGTTATATGCTACATTGGTAGATGACCAAAATAAGAAGTCCTTGTTTTACGGGAGCACTTTGCAAAAATCAATCCGGGGTGATCCACCATGCAGCACTGTAGTGAGTATCCTTAGCATATTAAGACATAATTACAAATATGTTAGTGCAAATTTTATAGTGAGTGGTATTTCAAGACTGCTTAATTTGAAGATGGGATCTCATTTTTCTATGTCTTCTTGTTCCAATGCATTTTGGAATTTTCAAGTCATAGCATCATCCCTGACTTTGTCCCTCTCAATCACAGGAAGCAGCGGAACGTGTCGGTGAGAAACTTGTGCAGACTAGTGTTGATCTCAACATCAATAAGATTTCATCTTATGATTGCAATGGTTTTGCTCGAGGAGAAAGAATGCAAGCGTTTGAGATTGCCATTTCTCGCCATGGTTTCCTGCCCAGATAGTTTCTTCCTTCTTTTCTATGTGAATTATTTATAGCCTTCAGAAGTCTGAAGCTTTCTCATAGGGGCTAGGGATGACAATAGGACAGGGCAGGGCGGTGCAGGTGAAGTATTGCCCTGCCACAAAATCAGCATGCCCTGCCCTATTTAACAGTGTTTCTCTTTTTCAACCTGCCCCGCCCTGCCCCGTTTAGCTTTTTTGTTTCTTTCCATTCTTTTAAGTTTGGAACTGTAACTATTCATGTTATTATAAAAAGAAAGATGAATATGATTTCCATGATAAATCCGATAACGGTATGGCTTCGGTTTACATGACGTAAAATTACTTTATTAAGAGCATGTCACTAAGGCTAAAATGGAATGATGTCTTTCTTTTAACAAGAGATTAAAAAGGAAAAGAGTGTCGTATAAAATGGAATATCATATCTGTACATGCAAAATTAACATTTTGACGTGGAAGACAGCAAACACAACGCTTTAATCAAAGAAGTTCAGAATCANCGAAAATATCAAAATTACATCTATATATCACCAGCTAATTCTTCTTTTTCCCTTTTAAGGATATTTTTTAGGCCTACAGAAGAAAGTCCGATCTGATTAACGTTATTCCTAAAGTTGACAATGGCATTTCCTACATAAACGTAAGTATGTAGTACTTACTCTATATGGTGTTTGGTTTAGAGAATAAATTGACAATAATAGTGTCGGTGTGCGGCCATTTCGAAGTAAATGTGATTCTCCCACTTTATCTTTTGACCACTCAATCATGACTTTTTACTTCATTGGGGAAATCTACAATTACCATATGATACGTCGTTATTGCACTCTGTTTTAAAAGGTAGCATTGGGACTCATCCGAGGCTCGCCCTAGGGCGAAGCATTCGTAAAACGCCCCTAAACTTATGTGTGATGCATAAATCCGTGATACTTACGCCTCGGTCATCGGGCTTACGCTCCGAACACGCCCAACGTCCGACGTACTGGAGAAGTTTTATTGTGTGTCTCACACAACTTACATTAGTTGTGTGAGGCTCCTTTTTGTCTCACAAATTTGGGCACTCCAATCTTACACTTTTGGGTCCACAAAAATTTGGGTCTACAAAACGGTGAGACAAAAAAGGAGCCTCACACAACTAGTATCAATTGTATGAGACACAAAATAAAATTTCCGACGTACTGGACTGTCTAATAGAACTTCTACGTAAGCTAACCACGCCTCTGCCCTCGGTAAAAGACACCCAATATTAGGGCTTTGGCCGTTGTAACATTGTTTTTGCTTTTCTAGCTTAACTTCTTTCGCCAAAGCGTCAGCGCATAGCATGATGGGTACATTTATGTCGTTATTTGAATTTGCCTGAAACAGTACATTAGACCCCCCACCCCCCCCCCCACCAACTCCCTCTTGATAATTTACGGGATATTATCACCTTTCACCAATAAAAATAACGAATAATTCTGTCCATGGAAGCTCAGATAAATGGAAAGATTTCACCTAATTTTTTTTTACTGGAATTTCAATCTTAATCTCTAAAATTTACACCCATTTGACTGTTAAACCACACTTATGGATGCCATGCTTCAATTATTCTTTTCTTTCAGTTTCCTTTTTTATTAGAGGGGAGGCAGAAACAAGGTCGATAAATATAAGGGGTTGCAACTTGGACAAAAAATAGGAAAAATAGTTACTTATGTTTTGGGTTGGTCTAAAATAATCCTTCAAATGTACAATTAAGCATTTTAGCCCTTTATATTAACCGAAACTGAGCACATTTGGCCCCCATTATAGTTAAAACATATTGAGTTGGTTATGTTTGACAGAATTGGTTCTTTAGAAGCACATAATTAAGCTGTTTAAACTAAAGAAACTAAGAGGCGGACTTTTCCCAATTCATGCCCAATTCCACGTTTAGTACCTTAAGAAAACTCTATTCAAGCAAATTGAACTCACTATATGTTTCTTTCTACCGTCGCAAATGAATTAATGTTGATATATCCTTAGAACCCTCGATAGCACCCTTTTATTGTTGAAATCCTAAAATTAGTTATTTCTTAATATACAAATTGGGAGAAATGAAATCACGAGAAGTCATCATGACTTAGTTTAAACAGCTCACAATTTCGTTAAACATAATTAGACCATGTGGTTTAAATATAACAAAAACAACAGGTGCTCAATTTGGTGAAAAAAAATATCTAAAACTGGCCACGTATACTTTTAAAGGACTCTTAGACTAACTCCTAAAAGATAAGGAACTATTATTTTTCCTCATATATCTAAAAATTGATGCAATAATTGTTGGATTTTATATAACAAGAGATGTGAATGGAAATTAAAATGAAGGTAAAAGATTTGGAGGGAAACGAGAAATTTGAAGTTGTTTCCTTTATTAATGCACTTTGTTCCTCATCAGAAAAAGGAAAGAAAATCTTTGTGCATATATAGAGAAGCACATCTTCTAGCTCTTAAAAAGTTGAGAAGAAGTGGTGCCTCGCGCTGTTGTCGCTCGCTCGGCTTCGGTCAATTGATAATTTTGTGGACCAAATTTATTTCCCGTTTTCCGTTATATATTTTTCTTTTTCCTGATATTTACGCACATATTTTATTTCGCGGATAATTTTCTAACGCCTAACGGTCGTTTTTTAATTAAAAATTCGCGACCAAATAGGTAAGTTTTCTGCCGAAATAGTATCTCATGTGAACAGGTACTCTCACACCTATTCAACCCAGACTGTTTGGCTATAAATTCAAAGGTTTGGTCTCACTTTTAGACCACCTAAATTTGCATATTCTCCCATCTCTCTTCTGCATTTCTGCATTGTTTTGCGAAAGCAAAAACATAAGTATCAGTGTGGTTTATTGCCGTTTATTGAGTTCGACGAAGTTCTGTAATTTTCATTGCCGGTATTACAGATTAGTTGTTCCGTTCTATTCTGGGAGGAATTAATCCAACAACCTTAGGCAACAGTGAGGGGATTAAATTACTTAAGGAAACACAGTTTTCTGTTGGGCTCAGAACGTTATTCATCTGATTCTGTTTCTGCCTTTTGTTTCTGGTTTCGTTTTATTTTGCAGAAATTATATTTTCGAATACAAATACTAACAATAGTATTCTGCACTTGCGGAGAATAATGAGTTTCCATGAGATATTACTCCCTCTGGTCCATAATAAGTGACCAATTTGCTTTTTTATTTTGGTCCAAAATAAGTGTCCATTTATATAATCAAGAAAAAATTTAATTTGTTCTTACAAAATTATCTTTATGTACATATCCCTAAAAAATTTTCTTACTCCTCACATTAAATATTTAATTAAGGGTAATTTAGTCATACTAGGTATTTTTGTATAAAATTTAGTATTTTTTTAATGGGCGTGCCTAAAGCAAATTGGTCACTTATTGTGTATCGGAGGGAGTATCATTTCAGTATGGCTAAGGGACCCATATTGTTGTCAAATGTAGGGTTACAAACCTAACCAAATAACTTTAGCTTTAGTTAAACACTTAAACTTTAATAATTGGATCAAAGTTGGTTGTAATTATAAGGCACACCTCGACAATCATAAGTTTCTTTCTTGAAAGGCTAATTGCTTCACATTTTTCCCGGGCATTTCGCCTGAAATTAAGACCCTACTACCCCACTTAAGAAACAAAGTAGTATATATGATATGAGTATGTGAGAATGAGATGGCAAAGCATTCTTTCAAAAACCAATGAACATTACTCTACAATATTGTACCCATAAATTGAAATTTTGACACAGACCGACATATATACACACATTTACTCAGTGATACAATCAAAACGAGTCATGTCAGGTTACTGTCCAGTGTCACCATATACAACTGTATCAGCCTTTGCGGACCAGTAAAGTAAAGAAGTTAAAATAAGCTCTTCTTCTTCTTCTTCTTTCTGACTCCCAACAGTCAACAGATCATTTGGTACAAAATCATTCTTGAGTTATTTTTGTGTATAGAAGCAGCCTGCAGCTGGTTTGCAACATGAACCAAGAAATGAGTGGCGTTATAGTTGAGGATCAGAAGCAGAAGCAAGAAATGAAAGGTGTGAATGGGGGTGTTCATGAGGATATTAAGATTGACTATGTGTTTAAGGTTGTGGTAATAGGGGACTCTGCTGTTGGGAAAACTCAGGTGCTGTCCAGGTTTGCCAAGAATGAGTTCTGTTTTGATTCCAAATCTACCATTGGTGTAGAGTTTCAGACTAGGACTGTCTCCATTCAGTCCAAAATCATCAAAGCCCAGATCTGGGACACTGCTGGCCAAGAAAGGTTTGCCTCTCTGTTTCTTTTCTCTCTTCTTCTCAATTGTGCTTATTAATTGGTTAATTCATTTTCACATAATGCCTGTTTTGGTTTCCTTTCCATTTAGTTTTATGATGACTTCTGGTTTGTTTGTTTTGCTCATATTTTTCAACTCAATATGATTTGGCTTTCCGCTGGGGCAATTACTAAGTCAATATTGTTGCCTAATAGGGTTAAATTTGAGAGATTATGGTTATGTTTAGTCAAGCTAAGTACAGTACTCCAGCAACATTTTTTGTAGAGTTAGTAAGTTGATTGAACCTACTACCTTTCACAATCCAATTTAATGAGGGCCCAACTCTTATTTGTTTCTGTCGCTACTAACGTATCGTGATATCGTGTTTTCCGACTATGACCACGTTACTTCAGCTACCACATGCCATTTTGCCCTCTCTAACAACTACATTAATGAAGCCGAGGATAGCAATTTCAACACACACATTGTACAGGTTGCTTTCCTGGTCATGTGGTTGTATCAATTAAATGTAATTTCTCACTCAAATTAATTATCATAAACCATCTATATTATGTGGCACTACTATACTATATTCAAGGAGCCGATGAGATCAATTTAAGTTGAATGGTGACATAATAATCTAGATGAGTGTTTTCTGACATCTTGAATTCTTCTGAGTAACATTAGTATATCTTGATTAACAAGTTTCGCAGCCATCCTAGTTATAGTACAATATGTAGAAAGACGAGAGTACAAACTTAAACAGGCAGTAAACCAGTGGCGG